AATCTAATCTAATCTAATCTAATCTAATCTAATCTAATCTAATCTATCCTTTAAGAAATTAATGTGAGATGTTGTGTTTTTACTATGCACGATTCAAATAATTTCTTCTGAAAATTTCATCTTTTTAAAAATCGTAAGAAATCTGAACAAGAGCCAAGATTCGAAGCTTGCATCTTGCAGTAACATACCAATACAGGTAGCCCTCACGATCACAATTGAGCCCAAAATTTCTGTTGCTAAGTGCGACAGTTGTTAAATGAATTTTGCTCTACATTTTACATCCTTCCTTGCCACGGTTGCTAAGTGAATCACTCCAGTTGTTAAGCTAATAACAAGCTGTTACGCCTTGGGTCCCCATTGTCTTTGCTTGTCTGAAGGTCGCAAAAGGTGATTCCCATGATCCTGGCACCTATCATAAGTTGCTACACATCTAAATTTTAATCACATGACCAGAGAGATGCTGCAATGGTCATAAGTGTGTAAAACGGGCATAAATAACTTGTTTCAGTGCTGTTATAACTTCGAATGGTCAGTAATTGAACTGTTGCAAGTTAAGGACTACCTGTATACAGATGACCATCATATAAGGTGATTGGTGCTGGATTGTAGAGGGCTAGGTTACATGACTAAGGTCAATCTGTTGATATTTCAGATGTACATCACTAGCACAATCAAGACCAAGAGCAGTCGGCTTGCCAAGCCAGTGTTGTGTCTGGGGACACTTTGTGCTGCCTTCCTTACAGGGCTCAACCGAGTTTCTGAGTATCGAAACCACTGTTCAGATGTCATTGCAGGCTTCATCTTGGGAAGCACAGTAGCACTCTTCCTGGTAGGTGGATAAAAGTTTACTATCTTTTTCATATGGAGAATTCCCCTGCCAGCATCCAAACTGGGCCAGCTTGTTAATACAAGGCTGAAGTAAACAGAAAAGTCTTTTTCAAGATTAGTTTGCATCCAGAGAGCAAAGGACATGCTACTTCCTGCTTCCATCACTTGTACAGAAATTGATCAGACTTTTATAATCACCGTGGTTGGTCAGTGGTTCTTGGCCTCAGCTATACTTCTGGCAAATTCTGCTTCCCAACATTTCTGGTTTACTTCTTCCTACAGCATCTGTCCTGTGAAATAGCTGCTTCTTTTTCATCTCAGTCATAAGTTTGGACACTGTTATGTCCTGGGAATTATGTGGTACGATCATGGATTGCTGTAATATAAATCTGCTTTGAAAAGTTTTAGCAGATTAGCAGATGCTTTAGAAAAAAGAGTGTTAATGATCCTGAGAGTCAGTAAACACTTTTGCTAGATGTTGATCAGCATGAGCCAACATTATATAGTACACATGAAATGCTTTTGGAATACACAAAAGCTTTGAATTTATTTATTTATTTATTTTATTTTGTCAACAGGTACAAGGAAACAAGTATCAGTATAGATATGGATGCATGAAAATATGGCACAAATAAATGGATATAAATAAGCAAAACATAGCCGTAAACACATAAAATGAGTACATAAACATATACATAAATGGGGACAATAGGACAGGGACGGTAGGCATGCTGGTGTGCTTATGCACGCCCCCTTAGGACCTCTTAAGTCCCTCTTAGGGACTGTCTTAAGTAGACAGTGAGGTAAAAAGTATGTGGGTTAGAGGAACAGGATCAGGTAGAGTGTTCCAGACATTTACTACTATATTGCTGAAGTCATTTTTCCTGCAATCAAGGTTAGAGCGGATTACATTTAGTTTGTATCTATTGATAGCCCTTGTGATATTGCGGTTGAAGTAAAAGTAGTCATTAACAAGTATGAACAAGATAAAATTGTTAGTTTATGTCAATCTAAAAGAATGCCATTCAGTGATAGAAACTAAGCCCCTGCCACAAAATGCATACAAATATCATCTGGGTTTTAGTAAACATGATTGCTTTAAGGATCTTCTTTTCTTTTTCCGATTCACAAGGGCATCTGTGTAGTTCATAATTTCAAAGGAGCACGTGGGACACCTTCAAAATCAAAACTGGATGAACAGCGAGGCGTGCCCTTGATGGCATTTCCACGAGTGGAAAGTCCTTTGGAGACGTTGAGTGCCCAGGTACCATATAACCTTCTGTTTGTCCTTTTCTCATTTTGATTAACTCTTTTTCAATAGTTCGGTTCTTTATATTACAAATAAATGTGGTAGTGGGTTTGCTTTTATGTTTTTAGCATTTTTGGCAGGATAAATAACAGCATAAAAAAGACAACCATTTAGGAGCCCCATTATTTAGTTAGCCCAGTCTTTCCATCCTGCATTTTTATATTCTGTTTCATCCATTCTGGATTAAAGGTAATCATTTAATTGGGACAATCTGCTCAATAACAAATACCCTCCCAGGTATCCACTCTTGGCAATTATATTTGAGCCTCTGAGTTACTTCAGATATCATGTCCTGTACAAGTGTTTTTAAAGCAGGAAGAGGAACTATATTGTAATCCAGTTCCCATTAACTCGAACTAACAGGGTAGAACCCCATTAAATATGCTAGGTGGTTCTGGAAACTCTTGCATTAAGTGACATGGTTGTAAGTTGAAAAAAGCCACTTGACTGTGCTGCTTAGTGACAGCAGTTCTGGCCGCCCCAGTTGTCATTGTTAAGCAAGGACTGTATGAGTTGTTAAGCAAAACTATGTGCTTTGTTGCTGAGCTGAGTGACATGATCCCAGAAGCAGCCACCATTTTCCAAATAGCCGACTTGAATTGGGGGGTCTCAGAAAATGGTGGCTGCTTCTGGGATTGCACCGCACAGCCCAACAAAGCTTCTCTAAGCCACACTCTGGAATGCTTTGAAAGGTATGTATGGGCAATGCAAGTGAGAAGGAGGGTGTGGGGCCCAGTGGGGTGGAGAGTAGGCCCAGTGTGCGAACAGGACAGGAAGAGGAGCATGGGATGCATTGAGGTGGGGGAAGCCATGGGAACCCCAGGTTAGAACCTGCACTAGGCATCTCAGGACGCACACAGACCCGGTGGCCCTGAATGTGCTCTGCTTAACAACCCACACATTTGTTTAATGACCACATCGAGAAACCAGTGATAGGTCATAAGTAAGGCAATCACATGAATGCTTCACTTAATGGCTGTCATGACTTCTGACTGTAATGGGCAGGACTACTTAAGTAATTATCCCTGGATTATTTTTTCAGCCTTATTGCTTCCAACCGAACAGAACGTTGGTAATAAATAAGGGTATCAGATCAATGTCTCTTCACCTGTCCACCAGCAGGATAATGCTCTCAAAATGAACAAAATGGAATTATGTTTGGTATTTGGAGGAGAAAGAGAACAGAAAGAATTTGAAACAGGAGAAAAATTACTTTAAAAAAAAAAAGCCTGATAAATTGTTATGAAACAGGCAGTTAGGCTGTGCTCTCAAAAATGGATGGATTCTCCATTAAACCCTCCTTCCTTTTCCTTTCTGGTCATGTGTCCTAGGGTATAAGTGTTTTGAATGGGTTAAAACAATTCCAGACATCATACTTTCTGTGCTTTCCCCTACCTTATTTCTTATTTGTCCCAAGATCAACAGTTGTGACTACATCACTGCATACTAAAGCATATTCTGTCTCCTCTTTGTTCTGCAGAATCATTCTGCCTGTATGACCGAAGTAACCTGATTTGACCAACATCAAGAGAATTTTTTTATTGCCCTCTGCTACAGTACTCCCACCAGAATACAGTTATACTAATTGTCAAACTGCGATGACCAGTATTATTATGTTATGTCTAGTTAGGAACTAATGTTTTGTACATTTTTGTATGAGGAAGTGATATAGCTTGCCCTGGAATTCCCACCCACTTTCTTTTTTCTTGTTGTCAGCTTTAATATATTTATGCCAGAATTTAAGACAAATGAAAACAAAAAAGAAACAAGAGAAAAAAAATGAACTCTTTTTTGATTACAATGTGTTCTGAGGCACTACACCTTTGGGAATTGTTGATGTTTTGTGATATTTGTACACACAGACTTTTTTGTTTTGTTTTGTTTTATATACAATAAATTAAATGATAATTATACTACTAATTCATTTTTTACATTTTTATTACCAGAGATGCTTTCAGTGAGTGAGGGGGTTCAGATTCAGCATTGACAGTGCAATTCTATAGAATTCATACTTGTTTTCTAGAAGTTACTGTAGAATTGTCCCTGCATGACTGCTATCTGGCCCTCAATAGATTATCGATAATGAGAAATATGTATTTTGAATGCTGGTTTAACATAGCAAGACTAAGAACCTGTCTGTTTGCAAACTTTGATTCCTCTTATACAAGCCCCATAAATGTGACTGTGACTAGAGCAGGAAATACCTGAACTTTTCTTTCAGGAGTCCAATTTTTTTTATGGAGCTTGCTCAGGAAATTGTCCCAAGGGGTTAGGCTCATGGTGTGTAATCTTTGGGTTGTTGACTCAAGATTAGTTTCCTATGCCCCAAGGTCTTCATTGAATGTGCATAATTCACACCACTTGCTTAGCAGCTTTTTGTTGTCTTGTAGAGTCTGCTTCAAGCAAACTTTCTTCATGTAAAGCAACAGCAAAAATTTCTTTCGGCATGAAATTATAGAGAAAGTCTGTGTGTGAATGCACACCTGTTGTGCACTATCCTTAAGATTATTGCCTTGAACTGCAAGAACAAATGACTGCAGCTTTTAGTTGGAGTCCAATTTAGCACTAATAGTTTAGCAGATTGGATCAAGAATTCATAGTGTTAGTCAAAAGACTGTATCATTAGCCTTTTAGTAGATTTGAGGAACAGAAGAACAAGTTGGGAAACTTAGGAGAATGAAGTATTATTGCAGTATTATTGCAGTCCCAGGCCGAAGAACAATGGTCTTCACTAAGCTGAAATCCACCTCAGCGTGATACTTTTAAATTTCTTAAGGACTGTCTCTTCCCAAGAAGCATGAAAATCATGTAGGAAATTTTGTAGCCATAATCATTGAATCATGATTGAATCAGAATTCTACCAAATGAGCATTTTTTTTTGCTGTAGATCTATATGTATCGCTTTCTTGTGACATATGCATGCGTTTCTAAGACATGATAAACTTTGGAAGTAGCAGTTAACCTTGGAACAAACATATTAATCTCTTTAGAGCCACTCAAAATCCTGTTATTTCATACAGTGCTTCACAGAAGGCTCCAAATTGATCCTGAAAATTGGAAACCATCACTGTGTTACCAACTGGTGTTTTGTAAAATAGAAAGAGTGTAAATGTTTCATTGCTACATTTGAGCGTATTTTGCAACTCAAAGATGCCTGAGGCCAATACATTTGTGATTCAGTTCCACTGGTGCTAATATATTGTAATACCTTTCACGTTGATACAAACAGGAAATTGGCTGCTGACTATGTGCATGTCAAATACGAACCATGTGAAAAGCATCTTTGTTGTGCCTCTTCAGAAATGTCCCTCCTCATTCATAAGGAAATGCAAAAGAAATTGAGAACACCGGCTCGAGGAGGAAGACTGGTCAAACTTGGTACCTTAGCTCTGCTTTTCCTTGTCTCAGCTCCCTGGGAAGATAAGCTGTCAAGGAGTTAAACGGAAACACCAAGGGAAAAGGCAGCCAAAATCGAATTTGGGTTTCAGCAATTTTCCTTGTTTTCAGGGAGGGACCCTTCTGAAGAGATAGAACTTGGCATGTTAAAATAAAATGCAATGCCTACAGCAGCTCTTGAATTCCCTCAAAATGTGGGTATTCCTTCCTCCAAGTAATGCTGACTTAATTTTCTGAATCAAAAAGTAACACATTTTTATCCAAAACTGATTTTCGTTTTGCGGTTTATTGTTAACAAATCAAAGGAAATGAAGATTGCTGGTCTCGTCCTCTCCTTCCCTCGATTCCTTGAAACTTTCTGCTACATCCCATTTTTCTAGCATGATCATAATCACAATAGTGTTTCCTTTGAGAAATGGAACTTCTCTCTGTATTTTTGCTGGATTGCCTGATGTTGATTCCTGGGTTTTTGTATATAATTTTTTTTCCAAAAGATATAAAAAAAATTATCACAAAACTGTTTGCATCAGGGTTTTGTCATTTTCCTCGGAGTTGGGAGGGATATATAAGACCTGTCTTGTTTCTTAACTATATTTCTTAACCTCCAATCACAGATTTCCTTTAAAACAGTCATCCTGTTGATACCTCACTGGTACTTTATAAAGTGCAAGTCATTAAGAATCCTGTTAAATTAGCTAATAATTCTCAAAATTGTTATCCAATACATTTAGAAGGTGTAATTCAGAGAAGACTGGGATCATTAGTGGCTATAATTGTATTTTTCTCTTGCATATGATATAAAAACACCATTAGTTCCAAAATTCCTTACAAGAGTGTCCTGTTGAACCCACAATACATCTGATGCACAATACAACATACCAGTGATTCTCAATCTTGTCTTCACCATGGACCCCTTTTAAATACCTTTTGTGGCCACAGACCCCCCAAGACTTAACCTGAGATTTAAATCATAAACCGCTTTGGTCGCGCTGATCAATGATCTCTGGAGAGCCAGGGATGGAGGTTATGCCTCTGTCCTAGTGCTCCTTGACCTCTCAGCGGCCTTCGATAC